TTTAAAAAAAGAAAATTTTTTTTAAAATTAATTTAAAAAAAAAAAAAAAAAAAAAAAAAAAAAAGAAAAAATCTAAGCCAAAAAAAAAAAAAAGAAACAAAACAAAGTAGTACTAGTATGGTACAGAGTGTGAGGACGAGGCAAGATGAGGCCTTTAGCATGTGGACGTGGAGTGGTCATATACAGGGAGTGGGCTATTAGAATGGGCCCAACTAATTGTTGAAAGAGATTGAAGATTATGGGAATCTTCAACAATCTCATCAATAAAATAATACTATTATTTATGTTACTAATGAATAACTTTCAAGTTATTTTTAGTGATTATTATTTTTTATAATCTGCAGATTATCCCCTTATAATCTGTACTGAAAGGTATCCTTTTTAATGGTATAAAAATTTTATGTAGTGATATGAATAATAGAGTTGGAAAAAAAAAAAAAATGTTAAACTTAAAATTTTCTCGAAGATTAACTAGTTGAAGGTGGCTATTCACGGGGTCCAGTTTGTCTGTCTAATCCAAAAGGGTTGGAAAAGAAGGGCCCACCACCTCCTCAGCAAAATATACATTTTATGTTACAATAACAATGTTGACAGTGATTTATTTCTCCATGTCATCATGACACGTGTACCGATTCTCTCCAAAGAGAAATGAATTTGAAGTATAATTGAAAAAGCGTTCGCATATGATATAGCACCAATAACATTTAGAAATAAAAACTAATATAAGTATTTACTTAAAATATTAAAACTGTGAGATACTAAGATAATTAAATAATATTACACATTTCTAATATTCGTATTATGTTAAATAACTAAATAAGTTTAATAATAGTCTGAGATAGTTAAATTTCTTAACGCTACTTCTTTTTAAAAAAACGTGTTACATTAAATAAATTATCACATTACGTTTTTATTTTTAGATGTTATAGTGGTGGCCTTCAATTTTTGTTTCAATTTTACATGTTACCATGGTCATTAGTTAACACAAGAGTAATTTATTGTTTGGTTATAACTTTTCAATCAATTTAAGAAATACAACAATATTTCGTTTTTCTTAAGAATACAAAGTTGAAAGCACCATTACGACAAAGTACGTGAGATATTTTTAATCGCCCCAAAATAAAAATCATGAGAAGTAGTTCTATTTGGAACTAGCAATTACACTAAACTAATTAACATCGCTATTTTTGGTTTAATTATCTTGGACGTAATAGAGCAAGATAATTGATATGTATCATAACAATTAATTGAAAAACTTTAGAATAAAGAGGGTGTGAATTGACGGTCAAACCCAACCTCCTTGCACGAAATTACAACCAGTTGACTTATTAATCCATCTTGATTTTTTTCTATTCCTCCTCCGATACTCTGTGTGTGTGTGTGTGTGTGTATATATAACAAACCCCACTTGCTAATTTGCTTTAAGAAATTTTCTCTCTCTGTCTAGCTAGCTTTCTGAACCTAATAATTATCCATCTTTTCTTTCCTTCACATATTTGTAGATTTCTGCAATTCTTCTTTCTTACATAGAAATTAAGAAGGAAATAGATTATTAAGAATAATATTTGATATATATATATATATATTATCAGTGTGAGATGGATCAGATATTGAGCAGCAATAATAATAATAATATGAGCAGCATAAGCATGGTGGAGTCAAAGTTGCCAGCAGGATTCAGATTCCATCCAAGAGATGAAGAGCTCGTTTGTGATTATCTCTTCAACAAAATTCTTAATCTCTCTTGCGATCACTCTGCAAATGGCCATCAATATTATTCCTCTCTTTTCATTCACGTTGACCTCAACAAGTCTGAACCTTGGGAAATTCCAGGTAATTAATAACTGATTAATGCTTTACAATTCTCTCCCTCTATATATGTGCGTGTGATTTGATTGTGCATGTGTGTGTGTGTGTGTGTATATATATATATATATATATACGCACACAAGTATCTTTGTTGATCATGACAAATTAACATGCACATATATTGTTCTTCTGTTAATCATGATGAGATGAGTTTTCTTTCATTGGTTTTAATTTTTTTTTTGTTCGGTTGGTTTTGTTGGCAATTGATAAGAATATATGATGTAGAATGGTAATATTACGTAATTATAAGAATATTGAGATTAATTAAGATTGATGTTTTCATGGATTTTTTTTTTTCGATTTCTTGTTTGAAGAAGATACATATGTAATGGCAATTGTATTGTACATAAAAGTTATGAAGACAAATGAGAAAATAACATTTTGTTGGGCCTAATTAATTAGTTAGAAACATGACAACCTCACTAGCTGTTATAATTAGTTTTATACCAATTATATACTAGATCATTTCCTTTTCCTTCTTCTTTCTTTTGTATTCACACACCTCTCTTTACTCTCTACACTCCCCTTTTAATTATAATTTCTTATTAGAAAAGATTCTAATATAAAACGACATAATTAAATTTTATTATAAAAAAATGATATTTTTTTTCCCTTCACACATCCCACATCTCAATAATAATACCTCAAAAATATAATAATTTTGTTGCCGTATTTTTTTTTTGTTTTTTATTGCTGGAATCATATTGCTTTCTATTTTATATTTTTGAGTGTCCTTTATGTTTTTTTAAAAAATATTTTAATAAGTTTTTTTCCTATACAAAAAAAGCCGTCATGCCTAAAGCTTCAACTAAAAAAATAGAGAAATATTAAATGATAATATTAAATAAAAATTAAAATAGAATAATGGGTGTGAAAAGAAAAATGAAATGATCAAGAATTAATAATCTTATGAATATAGTTTGGGGTAATTTTAGAATAATAGAGGTGTGTAGAAATTAAATTCAACCATTTTAAAATTATGTGGGGTGTGTATTTAGAAGGAGTTATAGAGAGTAAAAAAGAGTGTGTGGGTAGAACCACCCTATTTAGAAATAATCATGAGTGGATTCATGTTGCAATAGAGTAAAAGAAAAAAATAGTAATAACAAAGATATGTAGTATTATATGATAACAAAAAAAAAAAGAAAAAAAAGTTTAGTTATTATGGACTTCATATATATATATATACACTAAATTATTTTGAAATTTTAAAATAATACTGTTTGTATATATCTCAATTTTTTTTTGTTTTTATTTTCAACTCGTAATACCTTGTGGCATATATGCATGTAAAAATATCTTAACAAAAACTAAAATTGTTCTTAATTTGAAATATCTGAAGTTCATTAGATATTTGCCAAGCCATTAATAATTATATGCATTCGATATAGTCTTATCTCCATAAATATCTTTATATATTTGAATCCTTTTTTTGCCCTTTTTGGTTTGGTTATTGCCAACTTCACACTCCTATATCTTTTTTTTCTGCTTTTTTTTTATTATTTAATTTCTGCCAGTGCTTGAAACCAAAACTGAGCAAAAGAAAAGCGATTTTTATCACTAAGATGCCAAAGAATATTGTTAAAAACAAAAGTTTGAATAAAAACAAAACATCTTCTATTCACTACTTTTTGAGGAAATGGACGTTATTTTTGGTGCCGTCTCATGCAAAAACTGAGAAGTGATTGGGATAACAATGGAAGAGCAAGTCTTCATTCCACCCAATAGTTTCCAAACACGTGTCATTAAATTAAGCAGTTGCATTTAGGGTTGGAATTGCTTAAATTGTCGCATTCATATCATCCTTACCTAATCAATTATATGACTTTCTTAGGAGCGACCCAAAAAAAAAAAAAAAAAACACAATCACAAACACACACACACACACACACACACACACACACACAATTATATGGTTTTGGATTTTTTTTTAAGTAATAATTTTGGAGGTTTTTTGCCCCTAGCCTCGTTCACTTCGCGGATTCGAGTTTTTAATTTGAGTTGAGATGTGACATTTACGGAGAGCTTTTCACTGTAGTAAAAAAAGTTGATGTGACATTTTCTGAGAGCTTTTTACTGTAAAAACTTAAAACTGAAAACTCGAATTGGTGAAATAAATGAGGCCTATGATCCCTCATGTTGCTTGTCCAAAAGATAAAATAATTAAGAAAAAAGCACACAATAATAATATGGTTTTGGATTTTTTTTTTTTAAGAAATGGTTTTGGATTTTTTTGCCCCTATTATATCCCTTCATGTCGCTTGTCCAAAGACAAAATGATTAAGACCGAGTAGAAACAATCTTTCTATGATAATTCTCTCCTTCCCAAAATTTCCAATTTTTTAGTTTATTTTTTAAAGGATTTTGTTATTCCTTTTTACTATTATTATTTTTTTGGCTAATATTCAGAACTCATTCATTTCTTCTTCAAAAGAACACTACCTGTGATATTGGAATTGAAAATTTTCCCCTAAAAATTATATTTATTATGTGTAAAACTAACTACGAATTCAGTTGGGACACTTTAGTAATAAGAATATTGCAATAACCAAAAAACAAAAGAACTGAAAGAGCAAAATTAGCTGTGTACTAGCTGCTTTATATACCTAATAATGCACACATATGCACAACTTTTCTTTAAAATTGAAGTTATGCGTTAAAAAATTCTATTAATGAGAGCATATTGAGATTGACGCTTCAACATGTATAAATATAAATATAAAGATAAAGATAAAATACATACATATATTTATATACAACTAGATAAGGTTTCAGCTAATACTATCCACAATTAAAAAGACGATTATTGAATACAAAAAATAATTTTCCTTTATCATATTCGACCTTTGTTTTTGTTGGTTTCTTTGGCATCTGTTGCCATACACCTATACTATATTGTTTTATTTATGTATTTGAATGGAGTTTCGGCATAGTAATGAAATATTCATTCTACAGTTCAAGTAAAGATGACTAGAATTCTATTTTTTTTTTTTTTAAAAGGTAAAGTAAAGTAATTAAAGAAAGTTGATAAAAATATAATGCTTCAAAACTGTACAACACAAGTATGATATTTTTTATTACTTTTTTTGGTGTTGTTTATCTATATTTTAAGTTACTGTCTCTATAAATCAAACAATCTGATTGGTTTGTATGCGTCATAATGCATGAATGTTGTGTTGGTAGGAAGTGCGTGTGTGGGAGGGAAGGATTGGTACTTTTACAGCCAAAGGGATCGAAAGTATGCAACAGGGCTACGTACAAATCGAGCAACGGCATCGGGCTATTGGAAGGCTACCGGAAAAGATAGGCCCGTCCTCCGCAAGGGCGGTGGCGGGGCCCTTGTTGGGATGAGAAAGACCTTGGTGTTTTACCAAGGCAGGGCTCCTAAAGGAAGGAAAACCGATTGGGTTATGCATGAATTCAGGCTTGAAGGTTCTCTTGTTACTAAACTTTCTTCTTTTAAGGTACTTCATTTACTGTTTTTTTTATTGTTGATACTCTTTCTCCCATCAAATTTTCGTCACTTAGGATATTACAATCTTTTTGACTTTTATATCTTATATATTTTGAATTATGGAAACAAATAATGAAAAACATTTATACTGAATTAGTTATCATGGGAAGCTGATTTGTGAATTATGTATGTGATCTGTGATGTATGAAGCAGGAAGATTGGGTATTGTGTAGAGTGTTCTACAAAAGCAGAGAAGAGGGCGGTGCGTCAGCTTCAAAATTGGCGAGCAGCGATGTGATGGGATTGGGAATGAAATCGAATTCTCTCCCCGCATTGATGGATGCTTACATAAGCTTTGATCAGCCTACGCCTCCTCCTATGCCTCCTATGCCTCACGAAACCCCCGATCATCACCATCAGCAAGTGCCCTGCCTCTCCCACAACATCAATTTGCCACAAAATTACCATGACCTGATTTTGTCAAACTTGCCCGCGAAGACAGGTACTAGTACTCGTGCAGAAGCAGCCACGCTCGGTGTGCCAAACTTGGTTGATTTAGACCCTTTTTCTTTTTCACGCGCTGACAATGAGCTGCTCTTAAAAGCCATTCTTAATCAGCTCACCACTCCCGATTTCAAAGGATCGGGCTCGCCCGTAACCCTAAGCATCGGAGAAGGAACTTCAGAGAGTTACAACCTCTCCGAGACCGAGGTGGGCATGCCCAACGTTTGGGCCCACTATTGATACATAAACCACGAATACAACATTTTTCCATAATTTGTTTGCTAGTTTTATGTAACAAGTTTGTGGGATTGATGTTGACATGTTGATCAACATAAAGAGATATAACATGCAGTTTGTAAATATGTTTATTTTAATTAATGATGACGTAGGAACTTCATTTCTAGTTCAATATTGATCAAGAACAAGAACATGTCAATGCCACGGATACGTAATTCGAGTCTAGAATCATATACACATATATGATTTCAAGACTTTTCTATCTTTTGAGTTAATTAGCTGTCATTCGCATACGTTAATTTGAGAATAATTTATGCGAAAATCTCTACATATTTTTATTTCTTTTTACTTTTAGGATATATATATGAAGTACAAAGGCCTTAAGGCGGTGATGGTGCATGAATATGATTAGAAGCTCCTCCTAGTCGTAGCTACTCCATGACACATATCATTATCAAATCAATATGGGATTTAGGGGCACTTTTGGAAAGTTCTTCTCTTCTTTTGAATTTTTCTTTAGAGCAAGAATAAATGTAAATATGGATGTGAGTGTGACTCTACATATTTTTCTAGTTTTGTTAGTTTGTGTTACAAACAGAAAGGGACAACCATAAGGACTCGGTGTATGTAAAAGCCAAATTGGGTCCGTCTCTTTCGTTTTCTGTGTAACTAATCAGGTATATATATATATATATATATATATATATATGTATCGTATTTATTATAAAGAAGAGACTAATCCTTTCAAATAGATAAATAAATAAATAAATAACAAACTAATATATCCTAATTATGAAGTTAAAAAGATAATAAATCATAATTATGAGATCACAACAACTCAAAAAAGGATTCGCTGATTTGATTTCTTAAGACGGGGTTTTGGTTGTTTCTCATTAAAAAATAAAATAAAATGTCATGAACAAAAAATTGCAGTGGATTATCTTTTTTTTTTAATTCCTATTTATGTAAATGTCATTTTTTTTATAAAAAAAATAGACTTCTGTAAATTATTCATTAACTGATCATTAGTTTACCAACGATGTTATTTATAAATTTTTTATCACATAAATAATCGGTTCTTAAATTTTTTTAAAGAGAAAATAATTAAACTAAGATGTGTTAGGGTTTTCAACTTTCTCTCTCCCCCACACGAACCAAAGAAAAAGAGTACATGACGACCGGAGTTCCAGGGCCACCTTCGAGCACGTCACCGGCTCTCGGCCACAAAACTTCATTGCGAGCTTCTCGTTGATAGTGGCGGTGTACAGTGTGGTAGTTTCGTTTAGGTGGATCTAAACCGGTTTGGAGCTTAAAAGCCGAATGAATGGGCTTTGTTTCTATGCGAGTTTGTCGTTTGATGGTTGAGATTTCTTGGCTGGCAATCTCCCTTGAAGGCCCATTGGCTAGTTGCCGTTCACCAAAGGTTTCTAATGGCGGTGATCATAGGTTTTTTCTATTTCTTTGATGTAATTTTCGTATTTGTAATAAAGGCGTTGGTCTCCCCACCCGATCCTCATTTGTTTTGCTATTTGTTGTTAGTTTTTTATTATCAGCTTAAGGCCGTTTGTATGTCTTCTGATAGGCTTATTTTGGTCCGGCTAAAATTTTTTCTATGCCGTATAGATGTCCCCTCTGTGGGGTTTGGTGATTTTTCTTTCCAGCGTTTGAAAGCCTATCTCCATGGAAGAAGTTTCTTCAATTCGAGCTTTATATGTGCTAGTTGTTAGTGTGTCAAGATGTTCTCTTGTTTTCGGGCCTCAGGCATGCGTCCATCCCTCTAACGAGTCATTAACATTATACCGAGATGATTGTTTATCAATTTTTAATTAAATATAATTTCCCTTAAAAAAAGTCAACTGGTGTAACAGCTTTTACTAAACACACAAAATAATAATAATAATAATAATAATGTAGCAATACACTTGTCAGTACGTGTTAATAACTAAATCAATCAATATGTACCAATTATATTTCTATAAAAATAAAAAAGAAAGAAAACGATTCCATTATCAGTATCACATCATAATTCGGTGGCTATACCATCACACACCGCCATGGGAAATAAAGTAATAGGAATCCGTGAGTGGAATTGAATATGTTTTAGTAAAATAGAAGCCCACCGCTAAACTACCAAAATCAGGCCTTTTCAGTTTTTCTGCTTCTGAAGCTCGATGGCAAAATTAGTCCATTTATTTTTTATATATAAATATTTCTCTATAACCTCAACTTCTAATTGGAGAGAATATACACTAAATTAAGACTTAGGTCACCACAAACACATCCTTTGAGCAATAGAACAATACTAAAGAAGTTTTCATATAATTGCGAGCAACAAATTCTCCATGTAATTGTACATGCATATATACATATATACATACATACATATATATATATATATATATGTATGTATGTATCTGCCACATGAGAATGACACTAACGGCAAACATGCCGTGTTTTTACCTGTCTTTATGTTTCATATTTGATACCAAAGCGTAAGCATATCATTGTCAGCAAGAGGAACTAAAAAATTTTATTAACAAGAAAAATATGTACAGAAAGAGAAGCATAAGTCCACATTGAATTCCTACAAGGGTACCTTGTATGTATCATTAAGGTAAGGTCACAAATTTGGTTAAAACAAGACACAGATTGACAATTATGAGGAGCTTATGCTCCTCTTCCTGAAACTTGCAATGAGCGCCATTAAAACCGCTCGCAAGCCTGATAAACCCTAACTTTTAGGGCAGCGACACAAGGTAACCCATCAAACTTCTAATCTCAACAAAAGTAGCCCATTTCTTCCCATCTCTAATAACTCGTTACCTTGTTTTCTTAGTGGCACGAGCAACCTATCAATTATGACGCAGCCGATCAATCCCCAACTTCTAAACAGCATGTAAAAGAACGTGACTCTTCTTTCTAGGGGTCGGCAGCAAAATTTTCGACTTTCGTCCCTGAAAGGTCTCCGCATAATTATTCAACATGATGTTCTCCGCCATTGCTTTTTACTTTTTTTCTGATGAAGCTTGAAGGGACTCCAACTCTTTCTGCGTTTTGAGGTCTCGCAAAAGAGGCCGGAAGCAAGGGCCTGCTGGAGCCAGAGCTCAAATTCTTCTTCGTCTTCATCCATCATTTCAGCATCCAACTCCCAAGGGTATCTACTTGAGTTGGATCTTTGGGTTTTCTCCAGGCCAACCATGTTTACGTGGAAGCTTGGCCGATGGGTATTAGGCCTGCATGCCATGCCCTGAATGGAATACAGCTTCTCTTGAGCTCATAACGTTTGATATACTACAATTGACAGCAATTTATCGTTTGCTATCTTAGTATTATCTTCAGTTAAATTACACAAACACTCTCTCATAGTTCCTTCCTCCTGAGGCAGACTCTCTCTGATGAATCTTTCCTTTCTTTCTATTTTGATTTTATTGTTATTAGACTAATAACATGTACCTAGCAAAGTTACAATACTTAATCGTTTAGACTTCTTTCCTCATGCACTAGTCTCTGCTCTTAGGGTTTATTAGATTCTGGTGTTTGTATTTTATAATTTGTACTGTTTTATATGACTACTTCTCTTGAGACTCTCTAATCATGTTTGTATTTTATAATTTGTACTGTTTTATATGACTACTTCTCTTGAGACTCTCTAATCCTTGTTTCTTTAGTTTCTATCCCTTTTGTGGATGTTATCACTAATTTATCCATTACTATTATTATCACTTCTATAAAGTTCTTCAGTCTCTTCTTGTAAGAGTTAAATAGTCTCCCTTTTTGGGAGTTTCAACAGTTCCTACTAATGAATTTCTCAAGTCCTTTAAGATATCATACTGCTTCAATTTTGACGTCCTACAACTCTTGATTTTCTTGTTTAAAAAATTTTCAGTTCTCATAATATTCCTCCTATTATATCTGTAGTTTTTTCTGTTTTCTATTCTTAATAACAGCCATTTGTCTTCCTGATCTGTTTCTGTTAATAGTTGAATGTCGGTTTCGATGAATTATGAAGTATTACTATTCATCAATTTTCTACTCATGTGCTATGGTTTTTGTCGGGTGTTTTGGATCTAAAATAGTTGAGAATTGAACTATACATCAGATTTTATTAATCTGAGTCTACATGTTTGTGATAGGGTTTTTATTACTTAAATTGAACTATTATTCAAACATAGGTGTTTGTAGATTTTAGTCTGGTTAATATTTTCCTTTAAAGTTTTTTCATTTTCTACATATTTCAAATAAGGAGATATAGAGGTTTGTAGGGAAGGTCTAAACAACCTTCCTTTACTTCCTCAAACAAACAGCATTCACGTCATTGGATTATACATTTCTAACGTCTCTATTATGGTGTCAACCTTTTCATCCAACCTAGAATTTTTGACTTTACAGATAAGTCATTCTTTATTACCTTTAATATTTGATTTTTGCTTCTATTCCCTTATTATAATTCTTAAAATATTTTCAGGTTCTGTTTGATGTCTCCAACAACTTAATTGATCCTTGATCTTTATCATGTCTTATTTTTTCTTCTAGGCAGTTCGATAAATCTTATGTGTTGTTTTTTAACATCAGATGTTTTATTCTTGCTTGTTCCTTGGATAGAAAAAGGCATTAATGGTTGGATTTCTTTCCACCATGGATTGTATGTATTTTAGATACTTTCTGTTTGCTCAAAAAAAAAAAACAAAAAAGCTTTATTGAAGTAAACACAAGAAAAAGACTTGAAAGAGAACAAGATATTGGAAGAAGCTAAGAAAGAAGAAAGAAAATCAACGAAACATGTCTTCGTATTCCATATAACTTAATTCATGTCATTTTGTGCTGTTTGTCCGGAAAGTGAGGCATGAAATTGCAAAAATGATGCAAAACAATAATATGGGATTTCGAAATAAAGGAATCGTTGTGCATGCATATCTACGTGCAAAAAAATTCGAGTCACATACCTGACAAATGGCCCATTCTGAAACATCAAAGATTTTGCTCTCAGCGCAAACAAAGGCACGCGGTATTTCCACCTAAAAGATGATAAAACAAACTTGTGAAAAAAAAAAAAAAATCTTCGGATCTCCATGGTAATAATCGAAAGTCTATTTGTAATGATTGACCACTAACTGTACGTACAAACTAGGAACATTCTCAATTCACAATAAATCAAAAGAAGTAAGGAAATAACAAGTATGATAAACACGATAAGGAGCAACTATTTGAACTTGAAAGACCATTTTTCCATATACATTTAAAATTTATAGCAAATTTTAGCAACTGCATTAAACCACAACATGCAAAGCTAATTAGCATCTTACTCTACTTCTTATGAACAAATCTCATATGTAAGTTTTGAATGGTGCACGAGGATTAAAAAGAAAAAAAAAAATCAGAGGGTTAAAAAAAAGAATCGCGTCTTGTTTAAAAGCTAGAACTCTTTAGCAAAAATGTTAAGCCAGAAAACAAATTATTGGAAGGAAATTACCTTCTGAGGTCTATCAAAGACCAGGGAGCCTTTGTATTCCACCCAACCATCTCCATCCTTTGCTTGGTGATATTGACAACAATCCTGAGGACGGAACAACTCCAATAAATTACACATCACAAATAAGCACAAAATGGGTATGCGGTTGAATAGGAGAGGGATGTGGAGAGAGTATAACACACGCTGAGTATTAGAGGAAAAAATAGATTTCTAACCTGACACCATCTAGCCTTGGCTTTACTCCTATTGGTGCACACCCATATATGAGAATTTCCGCACTTAGTGCACTGAATACGTCTTGATTCTTCAGAGCAATAATCAGAGCCATCCTGTTTATAGTGGAGATGCAATAAAACATAATATGATTGAGATCAATCAGCATATAATGAATAGTCTCAGAACATTCAATTAAGCTCAGCCCAGTACGGAGATCTGCAGTGATATGCCTAAATAAACTAGAAAAGACAATTTTCGACAGTTCCAAGCATAAAACATAACTTTTACTTTAGTAGTATAAACGAAAGAATCGAAACTGTCCCCCCAAAAAATGAAATAAAATAAAAAATTTTAAGGGAAAACACAATCCATACTAGAGCTTTTATAATGCAACAAAATCATATACACGTTATCTGGAATTCCTAAACTCCTTAGATGTAGAAATCTACAATGTAGCCAAATGAAATCTAAGGGTGTTAGACACCTTTTCTTTTATTTGCCCGAAAAGAAGATTTCACTGATGTGATAAATATTTCACAACAAAACTGTATTGTTTAATGTGAGATACTGATTCCTCCTCTTTTTTTCCTTCTCCTTTTCTTCCCTCCTAAGTTTATCACACATAAAAATTTAACACTATAATGGATAACGGATTGTTTGATAAGAAATAATACTAAAAAAGTTATTAACATGAAAACATACATTGAGCACTGATCTGAGGATAAGGCGATGAGCTATCAATAAGTTACAAGAAACACAATAAATCTCACCTGAGTTGAAGCGCTATGTGACCGCTGGCAAACACTCCTAGTCCTGAATTCTTCCTTTCTTAACTGCTCATCATAGTCTCTCTTCTTTGTGAAATCAGAAAGGACCTAAAATGTATAATGTTAATGACTCTTCTGTCTTGACCGTGACTAAATTAGCTGCTTCTTACAGGCCACAAGCCTATGTTTTCCAAGGCACTATTTGCTTAAATCATGCTATTAATTCTGCTTTTCTTTTCAAAATAAAAAGGGAGGAAAAAAATGTCACCAAAAACTATTTTTCCTTTTTCGTTGTGTTACATTATTGTTTTTGTGATATTTCATCTAAAACTTGTAAACATTGCATTTGGTTTCGGTTGTTTGGAAGGCCTTCATGTTCGGTTTTGTATGCCATATGATACTTAATAGTTTGCCCAATCATGTTTAGAAGATATTATTTCCATTGGTAGACAAGCCAACAACTATAACACCTCTAAAAGTTAATGAATTTCCCGTTTTAGTCATGCTTGAAGATTGAACAGAAGGTTTTACTTTTACCTCATACGCACACTGAAGTCTTTTAAACGACTCGCTTGCCAATGGACTTCCCATATTTTTATCAGGATGCACGAGCATGGCCTACAAAGGAACAAAAATATACGAGGAAAAGAAAGGGGGAATCAGTAGGAATTTAGAGAAGGGTGTGTGTGTGTGTGTGTATATATATATATATATATATATATAAGATATAAAGCTCGAAAAATTCATCAATCAAAAGCTTGCAAAAAGGAGTACATGGTGTCCTCAAAAGGAAACAGCAGATACATAATTGGAAAAAGTTTCTCTAACTCAACATAATTTTAATTCAAAGGAATACCCCATGGTTGTGACGAAATCCATAAAAAGAAACAAAGTATTCGGCTAAATATAGTATGGTTGTTTCGATCAGCTGATTTGTGTGGCTTTATATCATTAGTAGATAGAGCCTTGGCCTACTAAGTACATTTTCGTTAAGTTAAAAACTCTGGAGATCACACTTGGAGGGGTATAAACGTATACCTTCTTGCGGTATTCCTTTTTAAGGACTAAAACGTCAATCTTTTTGTGGCGAGAAAATCCCAGTGCTTCATAGTGGTCAATACTGTTCAAAATTCTTTTCATCTCATCAGCTGAACTAGTTTGCTCCTTTACCACCTTGCTAGCAGGAGCTTCTTTTGGCATGTCTTTCACAACAGAAGAAGCAGGCGGTTTAGTGGGTGCTTTATTACAATAAGAATGCTGATTTTCAGATTCTTCAGTTGGAGTGGAGAATTCACACTCTTCAGTAAAGTCGTCTTCAACAATTGTTTCTGATTGTTTCTGCTCTTCAGAATGTGCATTTTCTCTCACACTATCACACCACTGGAGCATCCAATTCAATGCGTCATTCGATAAGAATGAAAGATTAATGGAGAGAAAAACACCGAGCCATCCAACTCGAACTTTGACACAATACACAGCATAGACGGCTGCCATTAAGACTGCCAACCGTGCATGCTTTAGGGAGAACAAATAACCTACAAACAGACATATATATAGTAAGGATGACTATGGAAGTATATGATAATGAAGTAAGTATGTGATTGTTTGGTGTTCCTGAAAAGTATGATAATTTAAGGCATATGATATGATACCTCCGACTATAAAGAGCGTTCCGGTTATCCAAAAGTTAGCATACATCCATAAAATGAGAATCGCAAAGAGCCCGACAATAAAAAGTCCCGGAGTGTATCCCAGATACTGAACAGCAGCTCCAGCAACTCCCTGAGACGTTTAAAACAAACTCTTAAGTCAGAGTTCTCACATCTCAATGTATATCCTAAAGAGAGCTATGTAGTCGGGTTATAACTACTTATTGATCACTAGAAAGAAAATGTATTTCTATTTGATAAAAGTTGTCTGACTGAACGTCTAAACGCCAAGGATTAATCAGGGGATTCATTGTCGTGCTATGCTGTTAGCTTTACTTTCTCTGAAACTTCTCGAATCCGTAGGCAATAACAAGTGAAAGCTATTTTGTCGAGAATTTCTACGCGTTTTGTAATACACGAATAGCATCAAGTACAGGTAGGCATTACATACTAAATCGGACAATGTGTTAATGTATGCAAGGCCAAGTAAATGAGAAAAGTAAAGATTGATTACATACTACATAGTACATAGTACAAAGTACATACCATAGAGAGAAGAAGATAAAGCAAGCAAGAGAGGGAAGTCAAAGAGAGAAAGCAACTCCAGATGATGAGGAGAAGAGCGGCGGAGCCCAATGCTACGAGGGAATGGAATCCCCTCAAAACGCAGCATTTCCAGTACACGACCAACGTCCACGCGAACCTCCATAGCCTCCCGAATCCGAGGCAGATTGCGGGCCAGTGTCGATCCGCGAAGCCCCCAATTGTTTTGATCCACGAACAACAATCATAAGACTTTGAACGACAAGACTTGTTCTTGCTGTTGTTGAGGCATTTCCGAAAAGACAATTGCTTCAAGTTGAAGAGCCCCCCAATGTCCTCCATCAATGGAATCAGAAGCAAATAAACAAACAAAGCCCCTAATCATTCAATCTCCATTACAATGCACAATGCTAATGCTGTCGCCTTAATTACAAAATTACAAATTTACAATTACAAACCCTAAAGCCCCAATCCCTAATCGAAGGAAAAAAGGTGGGTTTCGTTGAGAAGCCAGAGAGAGAGAGAGAGAGAGAGAGAGAGAGTTAATTGGGGTCACACTTTCAGACCCACCGAGACATCTTTTTGGGAATTGCTTGCTTTGCTTCACATGCAATGCAATGCAATGCAAGCCTTTGATAATCAATCAATGCTCCTCCAAGTGGAACAAGACTTGAGTGAGTGAAAATGTTAAACAACAGAGCTTAAAGTAAAGATAAAGCCAAATCCAAAACCACAAAGAAAAGGAAAATAAAAAAAAAGTCGAATGGAAACCCTAGAGATAGAAACAGAAAAAGAAGAAAAAGAGGTTTAATGGACGTCCGATTTCATTTCATTTCTGGACAAAAACTTACGAAACCCTAACTTAATTTAACACATATATATATGTGTGTAGTATTACATTCGATTGGAGAGTGGAGTGCGAGTGAGTGCAGGTTTTTCACGAGAAAGAGAAAAAGAAAGGGAAGTAAGATTACATTCGATTAGAATAGATTTAGGGGAATTCTCTCTTTTTTCCTTTTTGTCTCTCCTCTCGTCTCCTCTCTGTTAGTAAAAGTGGAAGAGAGAGAAAGAGAGAGTGCTTGCGCTTGGCGTTGAATGTTGATGATGTGCTGGCTGCCTGGAGGTGAGTTTGCACAATTATGAGCCCCGTGGGTCCTACGTTTCCAATGTTCCAACTCTCTCTCACTCTCCCCCCGTCTTTTTTTTGCTAATCATCTCCCCCTCTCTTTTTATTATTATTGTTATTCTTTTACCATTAAATTAATTTTTCAAACCGTCAGATTATTTAGTGTTAAAATTTTTAATAGAGACTTATATAAGTGTTGAAAAATTAATCTATAGTTAAAAATAGACTCCACTAGTAAATTTTTTTATTTGAATCTCACAGTAAAAAATGACTTATTATTATTCATGAAACTCCTCTCCCTTTTTCGATTTATTTTTTAAAATTGGGTGACAATTTTTTTTAAGGAAAATATCATTTTAATATCATGTGTTATATTAAAATATGCGTTCGTGTCTTTAATAATTCATGCACGTAACTCAACGTTTTACAAAATAGTATTTTGGTACCTTTAGACACTATTTTGAGATGTGAACACGTCAAATTTAGAGCCCGTTTGGTTGGAGAATTCGTTCTCTGATTCGAATCATGGTTTATGGTTCACTACAGTATTTTCTCTCATAAAAAACACACGTAAATAAAAAATGGTTATAATCTCATTAATTAATTTAAGTTTTTTAAACTGAGATTTTTTTCATTGTTATTTTATGATTTCTTAAAAATATTTTTAATATGTTTTTTAAATATGAATAAATTAAGTAAAGACTATAAATGACATTTTATGTCTTAAAAAATTGCCTCAAGGTACTAAAAAACTATTTTTAAAAATGTTGAGATACTTGTATGAAATTATAAAAAATTATATTTTGATATTACACAAAGTATTAAAATGATATTTTCCCTTTTATATATAATATAATATATATAAGATAAAATAAAGGGATGGGGCTGTTAGTTGGGTTAGTGAACATATCCAACTGCCCAATATCATCTCTTAATTTCAGTTTTTATTATTTGCAAGTTGCAACTAAGTCTAAGATGGGGTGAGGTAAGAGTAGATTGCGGCATTCAATTTTAAGTGCCCTCTTTTAATTACAAACTGCGACAACGACGACTGCCTGCATGAGGATGAAAATTGAGCCAAAACCAATGTCGAAATTTCCTAGAGATTAGGTGTCAATTTTCTTCTTTATTTATTCATTTTTTTCCGTTTGGTAAAATCTTGTTGCGAGAACGAGATGGATTCAGACAAGAATGAATGAGCAAACGGCGATCTCGGCAGAGGACGTGATGTCCGACTCCGAGGCAGCGATGAGGGGGGTTTTCGGCCTCCCACTCTGCTAATGATCTTAAGAGTTTAGACAGCACAGCACAGGGTGAAAAAGCCAAAGGACATGATGACAACAACTTTTTGTAAACCACAGAAGACAGAACAAAGTGCGCCTCAATTACATATAAAATTAAACGTTTAGTAAAGGGATTTATACCCTGATTCGAATCATGGTTCATGGTTCGTTATAATGTTTTCTTTCATAAAAAATTATTCTAATCTCATAATTCTAATACATGAACCAAACGTCTCAAATGCGTAGAGCCAAACATGCAGATGCAAGTGCAGGCTAATGATATTGATGATGTATTATTGTTGACCCACCTTTCTTTTTTTTCTAGTTATAACTTACCACATAATCATAATCGTAAAGACGACTGCAACGCAAACAAAACATTGAAATGAATATGCTCATCAACTGCCACTCAGTCAAAGATACAAAGAGTCCTAACTCCTAACATTTAAAGTTTAAACCAGCCAGAGTTGTCATTTCACAAAGGTTCTCCCACTTACTTTCTGATGCGTTGTTTTGTTCAAACTGAAACGAGTGACGCCGTTTGATTGAACTCACTTTTTTTTATATATATATAAAAAAAAAAAAGATACATAAAATAATACTAAAAGAGACGAAATAAAACAAAACCAAAAAAGCATGTAACCCTGCGGTCAGACGGGCAAAGTCATTTTAACTAAAGCTCGCACCTATTTCCTCTCTCTTTAGTTCCAATGCCATGCGCTCATTTTCGAGCTTCATCCTCACATTTTCCATCCTTAGCTTTTCCAACTCACGGTCTCTTTTCTTAGTGAATCTTTGCCATTTCAAGCGTTGCCTCTCTAATTCCAGCATCTCAACTTGAATTTGTAGCTTCCTTTCTTCCAATTGCAGCGAGCGAGATTCAATCCACTGCTTCTGCAGCCACGCCACCCTTGTGCCATCAGGTGGGGCGTGGTTCATATCAGTTTGACCGAGTTGTTGCACTTGTGGTTGGGAATAACAACTTTTGTTACAGTCCTGAACACTCAAAGAACTCCCAAAACCAACATCTTCACCGCCCTGACTCTGCCTGAACCTCTTTCCAGGTTCCACTAATATCCCATACATTCCCCTGTCCCCATGTGAAGATGCGTTAATATTATTGTCCTCCAAGTCGTCGCGGTCATGATCATCAGTTTCCGCGTCCGGGTCATCTTCATCAAGGTCATCATCTTGGTGTACTTTTCTCAACTCCTCATTATCATGATCGTCTCTGCTTCTAAGAGCCAATTGTAGAGAACGCTGCAACGCCAGATCATGAGGCAGATGCAAGCGATTCCCGTTATGATAAGAACACATCTCTTCATAGAACAGGTGCTTTGAGCTTAATATTTTCCGAACATCATCCTTTTCTTTCTCAGTTAGATAATCTATCACATCCAAGAGAGCAGGGTTCTCGACGACTTGGCAAGAAGTGCCCCTCCCGAGCATATCATTAAGCCTCTTATATCTTTTGTTAAGGTCATTAAATTTATCCTCACACTGCTGGGGTGAAACATGGTAACCCCTTTCAGCCATGACCTTGGAAACAGATTTCCACTTTCCCTTTTTCTGCAAAATCGCAAATTTCCGCCTTCCTCCACCAGCACCACAATCTGAGCCTGCGTCCTCCCCTATATAAGACACGGCGGTGATCAAAAGCTTGACCATCTTGTCGGTCCACTTGACGCGCTGCCACGGCTTCCCTCTATTGACTTCGTTGTGACCATCAACACCTTCTTCAGTGAAGCTCGGCTCGTCCTCCTCACTGGCAGTGGCTGAGTTCTTGCTCCTCTCTGCACCCTTATTGTAATCAGCCAAGGAGATGGCGTGATCGCAATTATGTAATGATCCGATCTCGTGGACGGAGGAAGATGGGCACTGGTGCGGGTGTATGGAATGTGGGTGTTGTCCCTGATGATGATGTTGGTGATGATGAGACCTCATTGATCCTTGCAAATCAAGACCCCCAATTCCATAGGAAGAAGAAGAAGTTCCACCAGGAATCATACCTCCTTGAGACAAATGCCCTTCCATTCTTTTTCTTTCTTTTTGATTGAATGTAAAACAGAACTGATATCAGAACTTACCAACTAATTATTCCATGAAGAAACAAAAACCCTAACCAGCATTCATCTCCTACAAAGTTAAGTGAAAAGCCCTAGAATTTCGAACAAATTGACCTCAACTCAAGCACACTCATATTCGCATTAGGAGCTTAGACCCACTCTACTTGCAGTTCCAGTTCCACAAGAGATGTGTGTAGATAATCCTCGCAAGTCGCAACTGTTAAAAGCCAAAGAAAGAAGCATTCACATTCCAAACAACATCAACAAGCCAACTAATTATTGTGCGCGCGTGTGTTTTTTTTTTCCACTGTGGTGTGATTAGTTGATTTAGAAAATGGGTTTGGTCTTATAATTACTAGTTAAATTTTTGGAATTGAATACACAAGAAGAATCTTACAGGCGAACGTTGCTGGCGGACCTATCCGGACGGATCTGGAGTGGGGGTGGCGGTGGAGGAAGATCTTGTGTGGGCCCACAGTCGAATTGCGCGGCGGAGCAGAGGAGCTGGGGAGAGCTCAGGCGCAGGAGCTGCGGCGGCGCTCAGCCGGTGATTCTAGCCAAGTGCGGAGGACCCACGGTGGGGGTGGGGGCGAATGAAATGAGATAGGAAGGGAGAGGAACTACTACGTTCTTCTGATGGTCTCCCAAAACAAATGATAATTGGTAAATAAAAACACACTAATTCAGCTTAAAAAAAAACTTTAACTTTTTAATTTGAGTTGAAATGTAATTTTATGTGAGAATTTTTTACTGTAGTAAAAAAATTAAATATAACTATTTCTCAGAATTTTTTACTGTAACAAAATTCAAATTTTAAACTTGAATCGGTGAAATGAACAGAACTTAAAATTCACTTTGTAAATTTGAATTTTTAATTTAAGCTGAGATATAATATTTTTTAAAAATTTTTAATTGTAACAAAAAAAATTAAATGTAATATTTTTTAAGAATATTTCACCGTAAAAATTTAAAATTAAAAACTCAGTTAAATAAAAAAACTTAATTAATTACACATTTAGTTTTTATATATTTATTACTTTACTTTTTATCTTTTAACTAATCTCAACTTTATGTCATCTCACATCATCATACTACTGTAAGTAGATGGACAGTTTATATGCACAGTTTTTAAAGTTTAAAATTGATTTTTGTTATAGGTATTAAAATTATATAAAATATAACACAGTAACATCATTTAAGTTTCATATATTAAGTGAAATTATATTAATATTTTTATGTATTTCATTTAATATTTTTATTTTTTATGTTAATTTTATAGTTTTTTATGTATATAATTGTGATTTTTATAGATTTTACGATTTTTAAGTATTTTTAACTGTAATATTTAAATATTATCTACAATAATTTATATTTATTAGCATATATCAATCCAAATTTAAAATTTGTAGTGTTTTTGTAAAGTGTCCATTTATTTTTGTTCCCCCCACCCTTCAAAAAGTGTCAACATGAGAACGTGGAGCAATTTTCAAAAATAATATAAAATTAGAGACTTTTTATGATAGTTCTTATAAAAATAAATACAAATAGTATTTTATTTTTCAATTATTAGATTTATATTAAAATATGTCTATTTAGTATATTTGTAATCTGATTTGATTTTAACAAGATTTAACGGTCAAAAATTAAAACTACCAATAAGGCAGACTAAAAACAAATTCCCATAGAAATTTTAAGAGCAGAACTAACAGTATTGTCTATTAGATGTCTTGAAATATCTTTCGACTGTAAATTTTTTTCTTGTAAGAATTTTGAAGTAATATTGATAAATATCAAGAAATTTTTGTTAAAATATGGATTTTTAATGAGTTTATAGTGTAATTTGTACAATGTGTCCACAAATATGGTGAAAATTTTGGAAGAATAACGGAAAAATATTGGATATCAGAAATATCGGCAGGTAGATGTGTGTAGGGGTGTCAATTCATGTCGCGTATCGTGTTCGTGTCGTGTTTGTGCCGTGTTGTTTTTTTTCATGTGACCCGTACACGACCCGTGACACGAAAATAATTGAGAACTGCGACACGAACACGACACGGTCAGGTTGCGGGTCGACATGCCACGAACCGAAAGTGACACGTGACACGAATTGACCCGCGAACCCGAGACACGACACAAATCTGGTGAACTGAAATTGACACGAAATTGTAGATTTCAATCCATTTTGTAAAGATCTTAACAAGTACCAAAGTCCAAGCATAGATAATAAAGTTTCAACACTAAAGTCCAAACCTAGATCTAGATAATAAAGTTTCAGCAACAACATTACAAAACCACATTGATGCAAAAGAAAACCATATTGATGCAAAAGAAAACATCACATGAAATGAAACCTGCATAACAAAGTCCTAAAACCACATAGTTCAAATGAAGCAAAAAAAAAAAAAAAAACATTACACAACCATAATAAAAATCAAATTCAAGCGCATCCGGAGTTAGAAGCTTGGTCGACAGTTTTTTCAGAATGTATGTTAAGATTAACGACATTGTTGATGAGCTCATCCATATCTTCATGAAATACTTTGAATCCATCTAGGGAAAAGAGTTACTAATTAGCATTTGTGAGACTGAGAGTAACAATATTTAAGAGAACAATGAAGAACTTGAAGAATATACCTTCATTTCCATACAACCAATCCCTTGTACATACAATTGCTTCAACAGTCTCATGTTTAAGAGAGCTACGGAACTGATCAAGCACACAACTGCCAACACTAAATGCAGCCTCTGAAGCAACTGTTGATACAAGAATGCATAATAAATCACGGGCCATGGCAGCAAGAATTGGATAGCGGCACTGATTTCTCTTCCAATAGGAGAGAATATCCAACTGATAACTCCGTTTTATTCTAGGCTCGTCCAAATACAATTCCAACTGTGATTTTTGGTTCGAAGCATAAAACATATCACTGGAAACATCATCAAATTCTTGAAAAAAAAAATAAAACATTAGTAACTACTAAGATAAATATTACTACGTACAAGAATGTAAATATATAAGAAAAATAAATATTACCTTCATCAAATCTGACTCATCTACTTCCATTCCATATGGTGCTTTACCCTTGTCCTTTTTCTTGCAAGTGGGTGGTGAGACATAATGATCAAGCTTCAAAGCATACTCGTGAAAAAGGGATTCTAACTTCGCACGCAATGATAACAACTCCTTAGAGTTAAGCTCAAAAGCTTTCTTGTAGCAAAAGTCAATAAACTGCGTCTTATACCGTGGATCGAATACAAGTGCAATGCCTAAAATGGGGTTGAATTGTAACCAATATTTCTAAAATTTGGCCACATATGCATAGCCATGGACTTCAAGTACTCAGCTTCACCTTGGGCAGCATTTTTTAGGGTTATATATCATTCCATAATTGCTGGGAAATACAAGCTTGCTGTGGGATATCTTGTGCCAGAAAATAAAAGTGTGGCATCATAGAAGAATTTTAAGAACTTGGATATTTTCTCAACTCCCACTCATCGGAGTTAGGACAATTCTTATAGTTAGAATCACTCAATTCTAAATTTTGAAAAGCGTGTCTATAAAAGAGAGCACTTTCAAGCATAAGATAAGTTGAATTCCATCTAGTAACCACATCCTGAGACAATCCTTTGTTGCTTCCCATCGACACTAACTTAACACATTCTAAAAACTTTTGCTTCCTCTGTTGTGATCCTTTAACATATTTAACACTATCTCGAATCTTCTCAACTAACTTATCAATACTTTTCAAACCATCTTGCACAACAAGGTTAAGAATATGGGCACAACATCTCAACTGAAAAAATTCACCATGAAAAGGCAACAAACCACGCAAGTTTAATTGCTTTAGCAATGCATCCACAGAGACATCATTTGAAGCAGCATTATCTAAAGTTATACTGAAAATCTTTTCCTCAATTCCCCAATCACTTAATAAGGAAAAGATTTTCTCAGATAGTGCTATCCCAGTGTGTGGAGGTGGCATAAGACAAAAACTCAGAATTCTTTTATGTAACTTCCAATTCTTATCAAGAAAATGAGCAGTCATGCACCAATACCCATAAGTAGTCAATGAAGTCCACATATCAGATGTCAAACTTATTCTACCAGGACATGCATCCAACATATTTTTTATTTTTATTTTCTCCCTTGCATACAACTTAAGAGAGTCAACCTTAGCAGTGTTCCTAGACACTAATTCCACATCAGGATATAGATATTGAAGCATAGCCCTTAATCCCTTGTACTCAACAAATTGGAAAGGCAAATCATGCATAACAATACAAACAGTCATCAACTCACGCCATTTTTCAGAATTAAAGCTACAAGAGCCAAATGACAAGCTACTATCACGAGAAATAAGCATTTGACCAATATCTCTAGTGTCTAATCTCAAACAAGTTTTAATATGCTTCAACATGTTACCTGTTCCATACTTACTAGCAGCAAGATATTATTGTCCACACTTCTTGCAAGCACTCTTAAGCTTTTTGTTCGGACCAAGAGGAAGGATGTCAAAAAAGTTCCAAGCTTTTGATTCCTCAAAATCATTGTTCTCACTTTGTGCCTCCAAATCATTGTTGTTCATCTACAATAGAATTAAGAGAAAACAAAATCAGAAACTTAGATCTTCTACACTCATGTATAATGGGCTTCACAAATAGAAACTTAGAAAGGTTCCCAAGTAGTAAGCACACACATGGCTCTTTAATAGATCTTTTACAATCCATAAAAATGTCTAATTTGATGTAAAAAATCCTATAGATTATCACACAAAAAATTGCCAAGAAATAAATCTAACGGACAAAAAAGACAATCAAAGAATAGATAAAGACAGAAACAAGTCAAGTAAAAATGATAACTCTAAGAAATTAGAGTTATCCACTGGTTTTATAGCCTAAAATTGTTTGTCCATGAGTATTTGTTCTCGTTTTTTGTTTGTTTTAAGTTAGATTTGTAAAGTTGCATGTACTTTGGCCTAATTCCGTATTGCTGCACCTCTTGAAGTGAATGCTGGTAATTTGGAAGTAAAATAGGTGAAAAACTGGCTAATTCTATGTGAGTTCCTTGCAGGAAATTGTTGGGCTAAAATGCTGTAGCATTCTGGGCGACATTCTGGGATTAGCTGGCAGCTGATTGATGTCAGCGCACTAGCTAGACAAAGCAGACAGAAAGGAATCCGTGTGAGCTAGCTGAGGAGGTGTCAAATGGGTCCACTGTGCACATCAGCAGTGACACCTCAGCCCTTGTGTTGCCCTAGAAGGGAATGTTTCTCTCAGGACAAGTTGGCAGCCGCCAGGGGGAGAAAAAGAGGAAGAGAGAGAATCGGGCATTAATATAAAAAGAAGACAGTGGCTGTTTCAAAAAAGGGAGCACAGAAGAGAGTACCAAGACACCAGAAAACACAACACAAAGGCATTATTCATAGAGGAAAAAGCTTCGGAGGAAAGCTGAAGAAACCAGAACATCAAGTAATATTCAGCGTAGAAGGAAAATACAGAGACGTGAGAGCTGGAAGTTGAAGGTCATTGTTGGCCGGTCACAGAGGAATCCAAGATCCAGCTGAACTTATTCTTCTTCTGTTAGCTTAACTTTCTTTTGTCATTTAGTTACTAATTCTAGATATGGATTATACTGGAGCTTTGGATCTTGTAACTATCATTATGAACTAAGTTGATGTAGCTAGGTTTGCTAATGGAACCAATATTGTTAGAATGACAAGTTGTTTCTGAAATGCTATTATTCTACTATTCCTGTTCATTTATGTGAGCTAATGTCTATTTCTATTCTTGATTGGCCATCAACTTTAGGATACAAGATTGAGATTAATACTGGAAGGGTAAGTCTTAATCGGATTAGCATGAATGATGCTTGTTCAATAAGCTTGCTGAGTTTTTGATTAGTGGATAGCATAGGAATATATTATTCACCTTGCATAACTTAATGAAACCTGAGCTTAAATCTGCAGTCCTAGAGCTGGATTCACATAGGAATGTGTCAGAAATAGCTTAAAGGACCACAGTCATAATCAATTCAGAAGAACTTTATGCATCAACGAGTTTCTGTTAACAGGATAGTAGAATGCTGCAACATTCTTGGTAACATTCTAGTCAGACTTGCAGTAGAGGGAAAATTAGCAGGCCTAGCTCATTTACACCACTGAATTACATTCCATCAC